AATTGCTCGGTTTAAGGACCTGAATCGTTTCTCGTTCAGAGGTTCACTCTCAATACAGTTACGAACAAGAGAATGGATATAAACGATTAACTATCAGTTCCCGCAACGCACAGACAATACTATCACGAACAAGTCTACTCTAAACAAGCCTATATCCACCAACGTCTCCCCTCTCGGTTCTACACGTTGATTAATTAGGTTAGAAGGGTGATCAATCTACTAACCCTAGAATACGCTCAACTTGAATAGATATGAACAATTAAGATCAAGCAATTATTATCGAACCTAATCAATCATCCCCTATCCCTAGCGTATGGATTTAGCCACTCATATGGAATTCAACATCAAAATTCATACAAACCCAAGCCATCATCATCAATCACACAATTGAGAAAAGAAAAACTTACGATTAATAACGAATCCCAATGTCAAATCCACAGAACAATCCAAATCCAAGCAAGAAGTAGAGTTTTAATCTCCAGAATTCAATCCAAAGAGCAAAAGTATGAAAAGGAATGAGTTTCTAGAAAAAATGAAGTCTGGAATGTGAATAATGATGTCTAGGTCGAAAATCTGATGTAAAAATCCTGACCTCGAAATTCGCGCCGCGTAAGTCGTGAGTCGCGACATAAGTCGCGAGTCGCGACTTCCAGTTTTGCCGAGTCGCGAGTCGCGACATATCGCGACTCGCGCGTCTTCGAAAAATATGTAAATTCTGGGGAAAATCGCGAGATAACTCGCGAGTCGCGACATCATCTCGCGAGTCGCGACTGACTCGCGAGTCGCGACACTGACTCGCGAGTCGCGAGTTGTTCTGGCAGCTCTTCGATCCGTTTTTTCGGTCCTTCTTTCAGTAATCTGGGCACATCAATGAGTATTCTCGATATCCCGGTCTCAACTCAAGTAGTCCCGTCCTCGATCAAAACTATCTACCTCCTGAAAACACAAACACGAAGAAAACACGAAGCAAAACACAACAAAAAGACGCACAAAACGAACTAAAGAGAGAAACGGAAAAATCACAGAATTGGACCAAATAAACTACGAAAATCCTATAAGTGGGGAAAAATAAAGCGAAAATAAAGACACAAAAATGGGACAAACAACTCCCCCACAATAAAACCTTTGTTCGTCCCGAACAAAAAGAAAAGAAAAGAAAACAAATAAATGAACAAGGGCAATGGTTCAGGCAAAACCAATCTCAAACATATCAATTAAACCGAGAAGAATTCCAATGATCACAAGAACACACCTCAATAATCAACTTAATCATTACGAAGAGCAAGTCGCTCAAGAACAAGTATATATATATATATATATAT